GTCTTCTTATTGTCCATGAGTATAATATCGGTTCTCCTTGCCAAATACATTTTTGTTGTAAATCTTTATTCCGCGGTGATATCAATCCCAGACGAAGGATGTCTCCCGTATTTGCTGGTAGAAAAATATCTAATGTGAAATTTTTTACAACTTGTCTGTAAATATAGATATACAATAGTTAATTAATTTTGTTAAAAATGGAGATAAGGAAATATTACTCCAATGACCTTGATATTGACATATTATGTTATAAAGGTCATAATCTTGAATTTTAACTATCGATGCTTTAACCATCAAACCATGCTCGTTAAAAAATTATTAACAAAGTTTTTATAAGTTTTTATAAATGAGACTAATTTTGACAATTTTTGTAATGACTTTCCACACGAAGCATCCATCCCTTTCCCATACATCTTTCCTCTACCTGGAGACCCCATTCCATTTTCCAGGTAAAGCCAAGTTCATCCCACACCCTTTCCCCTGTTTGAAGTTTTTTAGATCGTTCATTAGGTTCATTAAGTCGTAAGAAAGGGTATGGGTTCGCTTCGTGTGAAGTCAGTCCACTTTTCAATGCGAAACAAGACAATCCCCGTGTATAGTGATGGTCATGAAAATAGAGCTATCAATATAAAAATTAATAATAATAATATTTATTTTATCGGTCTGCTTTCACTTATCGGTAATGTTATTTATTACAAAGTCAAGTGAAAACAGACGAGTAAAAAGCTGTTTTATTATTTTTTATATAGATGATTCTATTTTCATGACTATCATTGTATATTTTATAAAATATATTATAAATATTTGCCGAAATTTTAATTTTGTTAACGATCGATGGTTAAAACTTCTTCAAAGTCATTCAGAGTTATGAACTAATATATGTCAAGATCATTGAGAGAAGATTCCTTCATCTTCATTTTTACCTCAATTTTTTTTACATCAAATCATTTCTAAATGTTTTTTTTTTTTATGAAAAATTAGAAAGCTAAAATATTTTGATAAAATATATATCAATAAAGAAGTGTGTAATAGAAAAATTTATTATTAGACATACTTTTTCTCAGAATCAGATTGCCTCGTATTTATATCTTTATATTTACAAATGACTTGTGGTTCTTGAACTTCCATTCGTTGATAAGTAGTGTTCAAAAATATAGACTGTCCTGTTATATATTTCCGATTATTTATGCGATACCGCAGTGCATAGCATCCTGTAAAGATATATCTAAACCATAGCCAGATATTATCCTGAAAAATAAATTTAATAATGTAATTTTTAACATTTTTTAAATATTTTTTTCATAATAGTATGAATAGTAGTACAATATAAACTTTTTGCTGATATAGTTCATTTACCTTAAACATAAATAATATTTGATAAATTAAATTTTTGTTAGGTACAGAGTATATACTTGCTCTAATCAGATACTGATGAGATTTTAAAATCTATAAATAATTTATTACGAAAAATATTGCTTCAGCAATAGAATATCCTAGCTGAATCTGGAACTCCCAACTTTCTGGAATGGGTCATACCTCATACTATAGTTTGACTACAGAGATTATAACATTTGCAATAACCTATAATTAATAAGTGAAACGTTGTTTCAAGAAGACGTGTGATAAAGTTATTGTTGAAGTTTAACTCTAATAACGTGTGATAAAATTATTGTTAAAGTTTAACTCTAATAACTATTTATAAATACACAATAATAATTAATAAGGAGCTTATATAAGCCAGCACTGGGTGTCAATGTGGAAAACGTTGTTCAAAACTTTAATTTAATAATAAAACATAATAAATATTTGTTAAACGTTTCGACTTTATATTAGATCATCTTCAATAACATTATTGTTTCACAAGTATACAAGAATTTTTTTTAAATTTTTATATAGTCCAGTATAATAAAAAAATGTTGTGGACCTCAATGTCTCAATTTGTGAATTGTGATTGAAAATTTCATATTGCTGATAGAAGAATATATACATATTAGATATGTCATGATATAACTAGGACACAATATATAATTTATGTTTTGTATCACTATTACATTGTTTAACATATATCACTCTGAAACATACATTTTCTAGTTATTGGTTATTGTGACAAACATTGCTGAATTCTCAGATCTAATGATAAAAGAACGCTACTCTCACAGAATGCAAGAGATTCAGCTGAAGTAATATTTTTCACAAACAATAAATTATTCACAAATTTAAGATTTTCTTTTACATTCGATTATAAATATTATTATGAAAAGATGCTCTTTAACATAAAAAAAAAAGTTTAAACTGCTGCTTGTATAATTTAATTAATTTAATAAGTAATATTATAATTCTGGTTCTGTTCGTGAACATGTTTCAAGGCTGAAAAAGGTTTTGGCACACAATATGCAGAATCAGAATGTATACATAACCATTTCATCATATCAAATTAGTATTATTTGTTACCTTATATAACTGGACTGTTGATTTAGCATTGCTTACAAATGCCGATTGATTAATGTTCTTAAAAAAACATATACTTCTGTCCACAGTATGTATGTTTGATTTAATATCAACTACTTTATCAAAGTCATAATCCATACATTCTTCTTGATTCTTGATGAAAGGATCAACTAATAAAGCTACTTCATACTTGCATTCACTTTTAGGAGGTGCAAATTGAACCTTTAAAGAATCTTAGATAAAAGATAAAAATATAATTAATGGATATAATTAGATCCAATCACTCTAGAAAGAAATTATTGTATTTCAAAATGACATACAATGTGTATCTCCTTCTTCTAAGACATCCCAAAATACATCGTAGCTCTCATTATAAGGAACTTCTTTAGCAGTACAATAATTAAGATACATGGAATTGTATTCAATTGTGTCATTTTTATCCTTAGGCTGTTTTTCTTTAAATTTGTACTGAAAAACAAAATAAGATACAAAGTATACATTATTAATATACAGTGTGTATGTGTGTGCGTGTGTATATGTGTATATAAAACTTTCAAAACATATTATGTAAAGCCCAATCTAGAATTGCGTAAACGTAGTTGTAAATGGTTGTAAAATTTTAATTTGTCATTTCAAGTTGTAAAGGATTGTAAGATTCAACTTTATCTTTCATGACTGTACAACATAAGATTGAACCAATCAGTGCTGTCATGTATCTATTTGTTGTCCAGAAAGTTCGTGCCGACTAACTTATATATTTAATAAATGTATACTAAAATTTAAATTTTCTACGTTTCCTTCAACATCGGCAATATCCCAATACATCGTTATTGTCTCGATGTACAGAAAGAATTGGGAAGTGTCCTTTTCATCTTTTATTGAGTTCATTTTATGATATATTATTTAACGTTATTATATTGACATTTATTATATTACGATGGAACAAAGTATTGTGAGCAATTCAATTTAAAGATTCATTGAATCTTTACTCGACTGTAGATTAATATGTAGATTTTATATAACATTTATTGCTACTACTACTCTCATAATCTTACATCTACGTTTAAGCAATTGTAGATCGGGCTTAACTCACATTGCACAGATCTTCCGAAAATCCATCTGTCTGCATACTCAGAATAAGTAAAAGAAGAGAAACACTGTACATTATCCTTTCTTGATACATAAAAATATTCCCTGCTTTTTGAAATGCTGCAAGCAAAATCGTACTATGGTTAGCGAGCAGTGTTTCAGCTATGTACTTACAAATATTATCCGATCCTTATTTAAAATAAATTTCCTTTATATATATATTTATCTATAGCAAACGAAGTAAGACGCAGACTACGTTTGCGTTTCATTTATCACCTTTTTCCTGACCTTTATCATGTTTATAGGACCATGGTATGTACATAGAAAAACTTAAGTAATAACAATGAAGATCAGTGTTGCCAAGCTTTGCATTATTATGCCCATTTCCACCAATCAACTTTCGTCTCGGTTCAACTTACTCTTCGTCTTTTTCTAGAAGTCGATTTTTGTATCTTCAGAGTGAAAATTACAAAAGTGAGCAAATTTACTAGATGTTGACCAATGAAATTATTAGTATTCTAGTAAATTCGCTCACTTTTGTAATTTTCATCTTTCAAATCTCATCTTTCAAAATACAGAATCGATCCCCTGATCTTTAGAAATTAGAAAAAGACGAAGAGTAAGTTAAACCGAGATTAAAGTTAATCTACATTAGTGGAAATGGGCATTAAAGAATTAAAATTTGGATTTGTATAGATATAATTTTAAATAAATATGTACCGTTAGTGAATAAAACGATATTGAATATTGTCAAGGAGATGCTGGAGCCGCCCTTGTATTATCGATAAAACTAGCATTTTTAACGGTTTTTGTTTCTGTCGAATTTATTCATAGAGTGGTTTCACAGAATAAAAATTCCTTTTCCACGGTTAAAATGTATGTACATGTTAATGTACATGCTGAGAAAAAAATAAAAAATTACAGATTTCTTTATTCCCATTTTATCTTCAGTGTTGAGATAAAAATGGATAAAGAAATCTATAATTTTTTATTTTTTCCAGCTTTAAACACAAAATACATCAATGACAAGTACATTAACATAAGTAAGTAACATTAAGTAATAAATGTACATTTTAATCGAGGAAAAGGAATTTTTATTCTGTGAAACCACTACGAAGAAATTCAACAGGAACAAAAACGTCAAAAACACTAGTTTAAGCGTGTTCTGTGTTACTTCAATCCTCAATGAACACAAAGATAAAATGATCGTGCGTATCATGAGTATCATGCGTAAAACGGAATAAACTTCTAGATAAAAGTTAGCGCAAAAATCTTCCATTTTTGAGATGTAATAACCATATACAAAAAAGTTACTATTAATACTAAGCGTTTATTGGACTACAGTCACTAGATGTTAGTAACATATATTTCTACTTTTTGCCACTATATGTTAGTACATTTTATAGTTTCATTGTGGTAATACTGACTATAAATGCGTTAAAAACTTGTCAAGAAAAGAGATATCGCGGCGTGTCACGGTGTCACCGGTGTGCGCTGTGATCACTGCGATCAGCAGTGTCGTGTGGTCGTGTCGGTCGTGTTCTGTGAATAGCGTAATAATCATGTAACTTTTTCTTTAGTTTACACACATACAAAAAATTTTCACCGCGCGCGAATTGTTATAGTTTATACAGATTTATGTAAGAATTTCAGGAGGATAGTACACGGAAAAAATGGGACGAACAGTTTATGTTGAAGAACATCTTCGCACATATTTAACATCATTAGCGAAACCAGATGGATACGTGATAGGATTGATTTTAGGACAGGTTTGATTTTCTTTTGCTTCTCTGTGTCGATCGCACATTACTCTCTCATTTTTAACATGCGATAAGTCAAGTGAAATTCACGCAATTTTTATATTAGCATACAAAACTCAAGCAATGATTCTTACATATTTATGTTTTTTCTTCAATCATTGAGTCTGAGAGCAAAGAAATTTGATTCTACAGATGTATGGTATTAAATTTTATGATAAGTTGTATATATTGTTTCACTGTCTTATTTGATATTACAGAGTGCTGGGCAAAAGGACTATATTGTGCATTTAGCGAAAACACCACCTCCTCTCACTAAAAATGTCGTGGAAGAAACATTAATTAGTTCTACAGTGTCTACAGAACAGGATGTAGCAAATGTATATATCAAATCTGTTAAAGATATACCTATGAGTTGGGTTGCTGATCATGCTAAACATGTATGTTGTAATCTTTTTTATATAGGATAGAGCACAACTTTTTTGTCTATTTTTCATGATTCTTAATGTTTATGTTTCTGAACAGTGCACGTTGATTATTTAAAGAAGCAATCATGATTGTATAATGTAATTATAAGCATGTCACTATAAAGAGATTATTGTAGTAAATTTTTATATTACTTTAAAATTGAAACTGACAGAATAGCCCCTCTCTATGCTAATTATGAAATAAGATTTAATTATTTATTTTTATTGAATTAGAAACGAATAAATTGTTCATTTAGCAAAAACTATTAAACGAGAGAGAGAGAGAGAGAGAGAGAGAGAGAGAGAGAGAGAGAGAAAATGCTTACAATTAATATTTCAAATCAAATAAAAACCAATACAATTTTTGTCAATAATATTTTGATATTTTTTTACAAATATAGTTATAATATTTAATAATGTGCAATTATATGAGTATTTTATATTAAGTAACTACAAATATATCTAAATATGTAAACAAGTATTTGAAGAATAAAGAATTGTCAATGTGTTTGTGTATGTGTGTGCGTGCGCGCGCGCGCGCGCGTGTGTGTGTGGTATTTAATCTATCTATTGTATTTATTATATAAAAAATGATTAGATGTTGAGTTTTGTTTTATTTACAGGTTACAAGAATGTTACCTGGTGGAATGTGGGTTCTTGGTGTATTTATTGTTGGACCTGAGGATATTTTAGATAATACTAGTAATGTACAAAAACTTAAATCAGTTCTTGGTGCAATTCACAAAACTTTGTCATGGAATAATAAGTACCTCTGTGGAAATAATCAGGATGAAAAGCTGATATTAAGTTTTAACAGTATTGCACAAAAGTATGCTGACTCCTTCAAGGAGATTTAAAAATTTTACATTGTATTTTCATTGTTTTAATTTTACCTTTAGATATATTTGCAAGTCTATAGATATTGCTAAAGATAGTATGTTAAAACCAGCCGATTGGAAATTCCAAGAAAAAGCAACCAAGTGGCATCAACTTGAAACTCTAGTTGATTTTGACAGATTGTATCTTATTGCTGTAGACAAGGATCCTGAAACTCTCAAAAAACAATTACAGGTATTAATGAACGAAATACTTAATTATTTTTACAATACCACATTAAAAGCATTAAATGTTACAGAATATTTTGACAAACATAGCAGATTTAATCGAGTCTTCACTTATTGTTATTGAGGGAGAAGTCAGATCTCCGGATGACACATTGGAAACACTTGGCAAGAGGAAGAAGAGTAGCAATAAAGAATGTAAAAATAAGACAGACGATAGTAATAATTCACTTCAAGTTAGCCTATATATTCCTTGCGTTAGTATGAATACAATTTTATTAAAGTTTACAAAAATAAATATTTTTTTAAATATTCTTTTAAGAAGTTAAATTAAATAAAATTAATTTTGTTAGTCACAAGATAATAGTAATATGAACGTAAGAACAACATCGTGCAGCGCATCAATACGACTAATTGGACAATTAGTCAGTAGGACGTTTGTACATCAGAGAGCCAGTATTGCAGAGGCCAATACAGCAGTAAAAGAAGATATAGTGAGATCTCTCGCAAGTAGATTAGAAATGCATTGGGATAGTTTAATAGAGGAAGAAAATGGTTCTCCCGAAGGTAAATCACGAATGAAAGATATGCAATATATTATAGTAGAATTTGATACTCTTATATTCTGCATCTTTGCAACTTCTTTTCAGAGAATATCACATTGCATGAACCACCGAGACGGGTGTTAATAGCATTACCAGATAATAAAGTTACGTTATCGGATTATTTGTTTCCTGGCGAAGGGCCGCAAGAAGCGTTATTGTCATTGCAGGAACTTTTAGATCTCAACGTACAAGAAAGTCAGGTTCAAAAAGAGGTCGAATTACAAGCTGGTGAGTAGAAAAATGTTAAGTATTACAATAACAACAAGTCACATATATTATTCGATTGTAACCGAATATGTTAATGCAGATCCTATAGAATTCTACTGTCAAAGCAATGTCAATACTAAACCGTTGGATAATAATGCTGATACAATTGGAAATTATCAAATGACCACATATCTTACTGGCTTAAGTGTTGCATTTGTTATATTGTTGGTAGCTGTTCTCGTTCACCAATTCATGATTTAATAATATACATTTTATTCTATACACGGTACATATGAAATAGCGGTTTATTTATATGTTATGTATACTATACAGTATTTATTTTAAAGTATATATATTTTAAAATCGTAAAAATGTAAATATCGTTGCAAAAAATTTAAATTTAATATACACATTTTAAAATTAGCGTATAATAAAATTTCTTTAACCTAATATCATGTTCTTATGAGATAGGATTCTGCTAATTATTTAAATAATTTTACATAAATTTATAAAAATATGACAAAGTTTAAACGTGAAATAAGAATATACAGCTCGCTCATACATACATCTTTCTCTCACATGCATTATTCATTTTTATTAATATATTTACAGGAAAATAAAATATTACAATATATTTCTAACTTGCTTTATATTATATATGCATTTTATTATAACATCTACATAATATATACATATACCGTATCATACACATGTATTTTTATATACAAAAGAATAATAGTAATCTTAGAATTTTTAATGTCCTTATATCTTTAGTATGACTCTTCTCACATCGCATGATAATGCCAAATTATAGGTAATAATATGCAATTTTATTACAAAATTCGTTAATAAATTAGGCAGTGATAATTCTAATGTTTAAATGCTTGCTATCAACTGCAACTTTAATAAATCTTGTTTGTATATTCTGTTTGTAAAATTCTCTATGCTAATGTGTATGAAAATTTTATTTACAAAACTTTTTACACTGTACACGACAAATTCCTTCAAAAAGACAATATCTCTAAGAACGCTGGGGAAACGTAATAAAAAAATATCGTAGCTTTTTTAAAATTTTTACGCTTTTCCGGCAATAAATGTTCTTTACTCATGTTGAAAGTAACATTTCTCTTTTTTTTCTTTCACCTTTATACTGTTCAGACATTTTTACTTTATTCTCTGTCGTAGTGTAACTTTGATTTTTTTTCTTCATTGAATGAAAGCACGAATAGGTGCCAGAAATATGATTTATTACACAACCTAGCTATATCGACTTTTTATATTTATGTAGTAAAATCATTAATTTTCATGTATTGTATATATACATATGAAATAATGCAAAATGTATATATTTCTAATAATTAAAGATGCCATACATTGAAAAAATAAATTTTTTTATATGTGACACAACTTATACATATAAATTTACATAAACGAAATTAAGTAGCTTATATGACTTTCCTTTACATTACTAATAATTTCTTCTTTCGAGCAACTGTTTTTTTATATCTTAGAATCGCGAAGATACCTTATAGAATTGTGAATAATTTAATGTAAACAATAAATTAATTAATATATTAATAATACTTTCCAAAATTTTTTCTAAAAATTTCTATAGGCAGCTTCTACGTTTAATGACAATTCCACATTCAACGCAGAAATATGTATTTGCAAAAATGGGATATATCATCAAAACTCTTTCTAGCATATGCTTATTAGTATAGTTCAATATGATTGTGATATAATAAATAGCAGTCATAAGTCGAAATTATGATTTAAATACATTATTGAAACTTAATTATGCAATTAATTATACAAATTTAATTATTAAAATAATTATATTTGTACTTTAATCATAGCATGTGAATTCCGGCCTATTTTGTTTGTGATTTAATTTACTAATTTTTAAAATTTCACGAAATTACTTTTTCTGCCTTCAAAAAAAAAAACATAAAACAGTGTAAAAATTACTATTTCTTGCAATTAATGATAATTGACGGCTATATTTGCATTTAATTATCATATCATGTATGAATGCTTCTCGATGAAGATATAAACAAATTGCATTCCTTGTTTTAAAACACAATATTAAAATTGCACTATCCATTAAACAGAAATCAAGTATTCTTAATCTCTACGAGTTTTAATTTTTATATTACACCCATTTTTATAAGACCTGACTGACTTCCTCTACCGATGCTTGCATCTTCCAACGAATCCAAGTCTAAGGCGGACTCTATCATAGTCGTGTCCTGTAATAATCTAAGTCTAGACGCAGATAAAGGAGTTGTTACAGTTACTGTTGGTATGGAAGATGTATCCAGAGCGGAAGAGACCACGACACTCTGACGAGAAGGCAGCGGAGCGATTTCATCGATATCAATTGGTGCTATATTGAGAGACGCTAGCGGTATTTCGTTGGTAACAAGTTGACTTATACTGTTCGTGGTACTACCTAAAAACAAAATTTGTAATGCCAGAGATAAGTTATCTTATTTTGGTGTTATTGACATTTATACAACAATTTATACAAAAAAAAGTGCACATACAGCATTAAAATATAAATAATTGCTATTAAACCGTGAAGGGAAACAAGCTGTTATAAAACTTCTTTAATATAGATAGGAAAGAAAAAAAATTATATCGTACAATTATTATCAGAAAGGTGCAGAGCGTTGGCCTTGTGTTCTCTTACACACAATGTATCAGCGATGCAAGCTCCTAACATAATCAATTACTCATTTGATAATGCACTAATTCTCAGTACACATTCTTACATTCCGTAAAATTAACATCTTACATTAGACATAGCACTGCAAAAATGTTTCATTTTTTTTTTACACTGCTTCCATTTATGCGTGAAGACAAAAAAAAAAGTATATCAAATAAACACACTCGTCACATTCTTTGGTATTACAAAATATCTTACCGAATTTTGTAAATTTGTAAAGAGAGCATATGCACATCGAAAAATTAAATGTTATTATATTGAATTACAACTTTTCTTTTAAATAAAAACAAAAACTTATAATACATTTTCGCGTATACGTTTATAGCTAATTTACAGATTATATAAAATTTTATCTTCCCTA